CTTTTTATTTTTATTTTTAAATTATAAACTTTATGTAAGGTAAGAACATCGAGCGATTGTTGATTCCTCGTGGGAATCTATTTCGTTTAGAGCTCCTAATTCTTGATTCAAACAGAGTATCGGTTACAGCAAAGAAACCTCCAAGGAAGCAACATCACCAGCTATTCCGAATTTTGACATAAAATTTGTGAACAGTAATTACATTTTCGGTAATCCATTTTACTATAGCCGTGATTGTTGAAATTGTTCTCTCCGTACAGATAGTTTTAAGTAGAGTATCTTTACCTAAAAATCAAATAATCTTAGCCCAATAATTGATTAGGGTAAATTCAGTATTATCTATTAGAAATCAGAAACGCTGATACATGCATAATACCAACACAGGCGTTCATGCTCGAAAATAGATCATATACATGTTGTATGTATGTATGTATGTATGTATGTATGTATGTATGTATGTATGTATGTATGTATGTATGTATGTATGTATGTATGTATGTATGTATGTATGTATGTATGTATGTATGTATGTATGTATGTATGTATGTATGTATGTATGTATGTATGTATGTATGTATGCATGCATGCATGCATGAACGTACGTAGATACGGACGGACGAACGGATGCAGGCAGGCAGACAGATAGGTAGGTAGGTACGTATGTGTTTTTCGATGCATAGGCTATTGATATACATGTATAGGTCAAAACTAAAAATGAGGTTAGTAATTATCATTTATCGTTATTTGTATATTTCAACTTATATTAATATAGTTGTCCATATATCTGTATCCCTGTCTTTGTCTTTATTTGTCTTATTGCTTCAAATTTATCAATATCTCATAGATAATTACATATTCTAAGCTCCGTCATCTTATCTGTTTCAAGAGTTGTAATAATCGCTATAGTAATAGAACATTAATTCAATCAGTTAAGAGGAACTTGGACTTGCTAGTCGAGGGAGTTTATGTATAGTGCTCATTATTGTAGACGTCAATACCATACCAAGCTTATGGGATCGTCTAGGACTACAAATATCAATTCAACATTCATCCTACAAATTGATGTCTCAGGTTCTTAATGATTAATATTTTTATAAGAATTTGCAAATATATCTTACACTACTGTATGCTTTAATTACACGTTGCTCAAAATAATATGAAAAAGGCCAAGGTATTACCATATGAATTTAATAATTCACGATTTGAGCACTGCAACAATATCCACGTCCAACTTCCTATGTCTATCGTCTATCAGACAACCAGTACCTGTGTGATTACGCTGAGATGAGCACGTGTATAAATACAAGCATTGTCAAGGTCCGCCCAACTTTTAACAACTGCCAATCAGCAATGCTGACAAGTTCTAACAGATATTTGAACAATTTCAATATCACTGTTCTGTGAGACATTATGAAATCACGCCTAATTGCTTATGTTTGGTAACTGAAACAGCAGCTTGATTAACAGATGCATATACACCTTGATATGTCATTACGTAATACTATCACGTTGGTATAAGTCATTATATAACACCGACATATTGGTAGGTATCACAATATAACGTTGTCGCATTGGTACGTGTCAATTTAACTCTGACACACTAGTACGTGACACTTCATAACACTGACTCATTGGTACCTGGAATTACATAACACTGATGGATTGGTTATTGTCAAAATAACACTGACACATTAATATGTGGCACTATATAACACTAACATATTGGTACGTTTCACTATATTACAGGCACAAAATTGTTGAAATGGTACATTGGTACGTATCACTATATAACATTTACATTGGTAGGTGTCACTAAATGACACGGACACACTGGTAGATGTCACTATATTACAAGCACAAATTGAAATTGTTAAAATGATACATTAGACCGTGTCACTACATAACACTGATACAATGTTACTTGGAACTATATAACACGCACACATTCATATTGCTAAAATTATGCCCAGGTACGTGCCACTATATAACATTGACAGCTCCCGTGGCCTAGTGGTTAGAGCGTACGCCTAGGATGCGGGAGGTCTTGGATTCAATCCGAGTCATACCAAAAACGTACAAAAATGATTCTAGCAGCCACCTCGCTTGGCGTTCAGCATTAAGAGGTTAGTGTTAGATCTGGTCGGCCTGGTTTCAGGATAGTGTGACTGGGTGGGACATCATTATACATGTCTGCTGCATGACGCCTCGGTGCTAGACATCACTGCAACACTGTAGACATCGTCGCGATAGGACTAAAAAATTGTTAAAGTTAGGTTAAAAATCCAAATCACACATACACACATGTATATATATATATATATATATATACATACACACATGTATATATATATATATATATATATATATATATATATATATATATATACATACACACATGTATATATATATATAACACTGACACATTAGCAAGCGTGACTGCTTAACACTGTCACGATATGTTACACGCACAAATTCCAAATTGCTAAAATGATACATTTGTACATGTCACTATATAACAATTTTAGTATGAATTTTTTAATTTTTACCATGAATCAAAAACCACCTTTTGGATA